TGATCAGCATTGATCACACATTCATAGACCCATACGTATGAGTCGTACGGAAAATACTCATCTAACGACAATTATTGATGGGCTTTGAAAACACTGTGAAAATGCAAAGAACAATAGATTGGTTGATTGAAATCAGAAGATTGACTCACTTCAATGAATTCATTTTTGGCTACATCCGCAATGGATGGCTCTGACCAAATCGCGCACCGATCACTGATATCTCGTTTTGATAAGCGACCCACAACGATGGCAATCAGATATGTCGGTATTGGCATCGGTTGACGGAAATAAAACGTCGTGTGGTCGTGTTCATCGTGAGGATTATCGAACGATAAAGCACTCATCAGACACGTCAAATCCGATGCAACACGAACCTGAATCCATCAACAATTACATTCATTCACTCATTCACTTGTTTATGGCATTAATAATTCGCATTTACCAACCTATACAGATGCAAAAAAGAGCAGGTACAGTTACGATGAACTCATAGTCATTTGATCATTTCGCATCAAAAACTTATTTTCGTCGTTTCATTTCAGTCACCATTTTCCAGCATTGTCCTTATCAGGAACGACTGTCCTTATCCTTATCAGAAAGGAACCGTACCAACCGGTCTGCGTGATATTTCTAATTTCATGATCTTTCCTATGCAACTGCCAGTTNTTGAAGAATCGACATTTTGTGAAAAATGAAATTAAAGAGCAATGTAATGTTGTGTTAATGGGATCATGATGTGATACTGTTACGGGATGAAGTCTGTGCTAAGAGGCATGAATGTTGAAATGATATTGAATGAAGAATGATTGACAAATCCTGCCTGTGCATCGTAAGTTTGCTTAATAGCAGGCGTGTCCATGCACGGTAGCAATGAACGTGCATGAATCGGTTGACATTGACTGAGCAGATACGGTGCTAACTTATCTGCTGTTTGTGCAACTTTTAACCACTGCAGAGCACTTGCTTCCTTTGAGGTACTATACTTGATAAGCACTGCGCTGAAATGTTCAAGTATTCTTCATTGACAATAATTTCAGTATCATATGGAGAATCGATAGAAAATTGCGGTTCATGTACGGATACGCTTGACAATCGGCGTGAAGCTCAGTACCAAAACAGGAAATTTCGAGGGACTGTTTCAGCTTCCAGTTTTTTCAGAGAGGGGAAGGCGCTGACTGAAACTGGGAGAGTGGGCTAAGTAAAACTGCAATTCAGAGCCAACTGCCCGAATGAATCATTACAAGAAATGAGGAGTAATTATGAGGGTATAAGAATAACTCACACGGTACTGGCAGCTTTTGATAGTTCTTCCGGAAGATAAACTTTAAGCGTGCTGCCATAGAAAGAGTATGCGTTTGGTGAAATACGATATCGTACATCAATTCCGTTCACTGTTATCGAACTGATTGCAAGCTCTTTCACATCCAAATTCTTAAAGATTTTGTTCAGTAAAATTCATGTTTGAAAGAAATTCAGTTTGCATTTGATCAACGATGGAATATTTGCAACTTTCGAACAATATTTCATAATGGCCAATAATGAGTAAATACCGGAACAGTGTAAAGTTTGAAGCTGATAGTTAAAAGTTTGAAAGATGAAGAATACAGGAAGTTTAAATTTGAAGTTAACGGATTATAATAAAAAGTAATTATAGATGATAAATGGACATACGATATGATCGACGTCATTGATTAATTGACAGTTCAACGATGCGCTCCCACTGATGACTTGCATTGAAAAATGCACATCCCATTTTAATGAGATGTGTCGAACCTTCAAACATTACTGATAATTCTTATGCTATCTTCTATCAGTGATTTATTATTGCTCATAAAAGTTGACAGTTAAACTAGGAGTTTTTTTTGGTAATTTGATTGAGTCAATTTCATTGCAGTTGCGATTCTCATTTGATGGGAATCAAGAGAATGCGAGCGAACGAATCGAGTGGACCATTGAAACAAAATCAGGTGAGATTCGACGGGGAAACGGAAGAATTTTAAGGAATATTAAGTGTTTTGTGCAATTTGTTATGAATGAGATGTAGTGTAATGATGAGAGGAGAGTAAAAGAAGAAGAAGATAAACCGTCAGTAAAAATAACTGAAAGATTTCATAGAACTGAGAAATTCTATGAACAGAATATGCAATAATGAGCGAAATGCATACTCGAACATCGTTGAAATTAGCGCAAGAGCATGCATCAGCTACTGTCATGGTTGTAAGGCGTCCGAACAATAATCACTCAATCAAAACACTAAACTAATCCCATCACTTTATCAGTTCGATATGTTTTTCACTTCGATTTTTCAATCAATCTGTTTATTGCTTAAAGTGATAATTGAGTGCAACTGCACATCATGATAATTCAGTTTCACCACGGAACGTATTTTGCACGCATTTTGGCTTATCAAATGCCGTACACATGAGTATGTGCTGCTTATCACCAAAATGTTACACACATTTATCACGATACACCGTCTTCACGACCCATTCCCAACTTATCGTCAAACTTATCGATACAATGTCAACTTATCGTCATGAAGTATATACACTGTGTTTCTGCATAATTGTTGCATAATTCTTCTCTGTTGCAAAGTTGTTTCATTAAGAAACTAATGTACAATAAGTTGAAATTCGGAATTAATTCGTTGGATTGAATGAAGCTGACATTGAGTGTACAGAATAGAAACTCAATGTACGAATGAAGCTTATTGCAACTGTATGGTTGCAGTTTTGAGTAACTATAAATCGAGATTGGTCTAATTGTAAGCACAAGTTCCACTATATGGTGAAAGATCAATGAGTGTTTTGTAGATCGAATCCGATTCAGTTGAGCCTTGAAAAAGCCTATGAAGAAAAGACTATATAGTGAAACAAGCATAGAATCCTCTTAATTATATCACATCAAATCTCACTCAAAGAACTTAATGATTGTTAATAGCATTGATTCTGCTGTTTGTATTAAGTTAGAAGCTAATAGATCATTCATATTTGTAGTTCATACTTGAGGCTGGTACATCAATGAGTATGAATATACTTGAGGCTGGTACATCAATGAGTTTCATCGATAAATCTTTTGGGTTGTCCTCACAGAGAATTTCACCGATTGCAAAGCAGCATTTCATTGAGTAGCATGCACAATTTTGTCACTTTTCTAACAAATACCGTTCATTTTGAGATTTTGTTCCAAAACTCATCTCATTCCCACTTATAATAATGTATTTCTTCTCACTCATAATAGTGTTTTACACCGGAATGTGTGAGTGGGAGTAGAGAAATAATTTTTGGTTGAATTTTGAAAAAAAATGAAATGAGAAGAAAAGAAGCAGTGTACAAGATTCAAACTTCACTATAATCAGCGTGATAATGATCATTCTTTGTACGTTGTCTCTTTTAATGATTGTTAATCAAATAAGATTGACAACAGTAACGAAATCAACAATAACAGCAACACCACTCTAATTGAATCACTTTCGTTGACATAACTCATCCCTTAGCATCAATGGGATATTTCACTTAAAGATCCGATTTCGGTGCGATAAAATGCAGTTGGTGAATTGAAAGATAAATGTGATACGGAGTTAAATGAGATTTGAGGAGTGTTAAGAAAAGGAAACGGATGGTGGACGATTAAAGAATAAAAGGTCAGCACAAAGACGGAAATAAAAGTCATCAAACGAATTAGAAACAAAAAATGATCATGGAATTTGCAATGAAAGAAGAACTGAAACAGCTAAGGCATGCAGAATGACGGATAGAAGATACGATTATAAAATAATAACAGATAACAGAATGGCACGTAAACGATCCAAAGAAATGACGAAAGCGGATTAATTGAGAGATACAGATTAACACATGAGAAGGTGATATACAAATGTTTTTGGATATATAAACACATAAATGAATTTAGTTCAAGTGGATGGATGGTTATTCCAAATGACATCAAAGTCAGTGAAGAATTTTTAGAAGAAAGAGAAACGAAAATAGAGATGAACGAATAATTTATTCGCACAGAAGTTGAATTAAAGAAGTATATGTGTTTGGTGACGAAATGCATTGAAATTCAAATCAATTCATACGAGTGAATAAGATCGTTGCGGTGATCTGAAAGGTGAATGATGATGTAAGAAAATCGAAGGAACGACGGAACATGCATGTATTCAGTGATGCAGTCGCATGCATCCATTTAATGTTATCCGATTTACAAAACGTTGACATGGAGAGTGGAATTCGAATGAAAGANNNACATCAAAAATTCGAAGTGAAGGTTTCTTCGGTTGATTTGAATTGAAAAGTTACATCCATCAATCTATACATCCTATTATCCGACCAGCCAACAAATCGCATATCCACGTATTCATTCAACAAAGTTACTTGTATAAATGATAACTTAAGATCAATCGTTATTGATGATATATTATGAAATAACGGAAGTGCATTACCGAGTAATATTTGTGCTAGTGTATTTGTGAGTTGTGTAATATATCGCTGATTTCGTCAGTCAGTAATCTGTTAATTCATCCATTATTGTATACGCTGAAGACAGAAACGGATGAATTGGTGGATTGCATGAGATGAGATGAGTTAATCCTTTATATGTCATCATTGTCATCCCATTCCCAACTATCGTCCAATTACCACCACATCAACATCAGCTGTCGAACAGGTCGAGATTGTCAACGCACGATCCACCGAACTATTGACACTTTGAAAGAGAAATTTCCTGACGTACATTCACTAGTTCCTTTCTCTTTCATATTCGATAACCGCAGTGACCGAAATTTATCATCAATCGAAGGAAATCTTTTGTCGTTTTGACGCTACCGAAATGTCCATAACTTATGAATTGATCTTCATCAGTATTATACTCATTTATCTTCCTTATCAAAAAGGTCAGATACTTTATGGCATTGGTTTTGTTATCATTGTGGTTATCATTATTATTATTATTTTCATTCTTATTATCAGTATCATTATTGATTACATTTGACAGTTCATTCACTCACAGTTTTGACTAGTTATTTTTGCTGGTCTCATGAAATGGTGTATTTGTTTTACGTGACACCCATAATTTTGCTACAATTTACAAGTAACATATTGCTATTAACCTGGCAATCACGCTGACATCGTTTTCGAAGTCGTTATGG